GTGTGTGTGTGTGTGTGTTTCCCCTTTTTTATACGAGCACCTGGGCTTCTAATGGGTCCTCGGCGCGGCTGGAGCACCTGGCGGGGTGTGTGTGTTTCCCCTTTTTTATACGAGCACCTGGTGTGTGTGTGTGTGTGTGTGTGTGTGTGATTCCCCTTTTTTATACGAGCACCTGGCGGGTGTGTGTGTGTGTGTGTGTGTGTGTGTATGATTCCCCTTCTTTATACGGACACCAGTCACACTGGATGAGCGGCCTGATCTACTCGGGTATGGCCTCATCTTGACTAACCACGTCTACAACAACCCTATTTCCAAATAAGGTCCCGTTTCCAGTCCTACTGGGGGGGTAGGACTTCAACACAGGAATGTAGGGGGAGGGGGACACAATTCAACCGGTGACACACTCTCTGCCTCCCCCCCGGGCTCCTCCCAGACCCTCACCTTACAGAGAGGGCAAATTCTGACTTACTATCATTTTATCTTCAGTGACTTGCGGAGGGAAAGGTACTTCCCTGGGAAATGAAAATGAACTGAGTTGGTCTGTTTATGCACACCAACCCGCTCGGTTACACACAAGGGTCTCCTCACGAGTACCGTAAGGGGTGCGCGCACGCCCCAAGGCAAATGGAGCCTCGTGCGCTGCCCACAAAATTACAAATTCGGTAACTAATGAGGTCGTGCAACAGACACACACTGAGCACCCGCCGTGTGCTCAGGGTCAAAAGAGAAAAGAACAGGTTGTCTGCCCCCAGGGGGATTACCGTGCGGGCATCAGAGCAGCAGGCAAGAGCAAAACAGCGTAACCGTTCCTTTGTGGCGGAGCACAGCAAAGCAGAGTCCCCGGGGTGAGAGGGACGGGGTCACAGAATGAAGGGGGGGTGGCGGTGGGGGCACACGCTGGGGGCCCACGGGAGAGCTGACGGCCTGTGCAGGGACCTGGGGAGAGTGGGCATCTGGGGCAGACCCGAATAGAGCACGTGGAGACATGGTGGGGTGGTATCTTTCCTTGGCTGTCCAACCTCCAGCCTCTACCGAAGGAAATCCCCGCTTGTGAGTGGCTCTGGGGGGCAGCCGCGCCCTGCCTCCCACTACAGAAGCTTTGTGAACAGGGTTGCATCAGCCAGGGTCCAGGCGGGACACAAGCCACGCCGGTAATCTGAACGATCTGAACGGAGAAAATGTAGTATAAAGGATTAACCAGCTGACGCTAAACGAGAACCCAAAGAGAACTCAGAAAAGCAGGAAGAGCAGATGCAAGGCCCGGGTTCCCACCCCCTCCCCGCCTCCGCTCCCCTCTCTGCAGAGGAGCCCAGCAGCAAACCAAGAACCTGGAGGGGCCCCCACCAGCACCAAGGGGGAGGCCGGCCGCCCCCATTGGCTGGTGGGGAATTTCACCGGTGCCGGGAGCTGCTCGCTTCCTACTTGGAGACCAAGAAAGCTCAAGAAATCTCCCTAGAGAGCGAGCGCCACCAGCCTCCCAAGCACTGCCACTGCCTCAGCTCCGTGTAGACGGAAGATAACACACCAGAAACAGGAGGCCCCTTCCCCTGGGAAGGCTAACCCTGCACCCGCTGGCAAAGGAGGAATGTTCTCAGGGTCCAGCTCCCGAGTCTAAAAGAGGGGCCAGGGGCGCTTGGGTGGCTCAGTCGGTTAAGCGCCCGACTTCAGCTCAGGTCACGATCTCGCGGTCCGGGAGTTCGAGCCCCGCATCAGGCTCTGGGCTGATGGCTCAGAGCCTGGAGCCTGCTTCCGATTCTGTGTCTCCCTCTCTCTCTGCCCCTCCCCAGTTCATGCTCCGTCTCTCTCTGTTCCAAAAATAAATAAACGTTAAAAAAAAATAAAATTAAATTAAATTAAAATTAAAATAAAAAAATAAAAGAGGGGCCAAAAAAAGGTGGATGTGGAGGTGAGAGGCAATAAATCAGTAAGAACTGGGACAGAGAGACACTGTCGTCCCGAGCTTGCCCAAGAGGAAGCAGCTGTGACAACGCCCAGTCCAGGACCCTACCACTGCCGTGGGCTGGACCAGCTCCTTCGGTTTTGAAAAAAACATGTAGATCTGTGATGTTTCCGGTTCCTGTCCCTCTGGCCCTCCAGCCTCTGGTCTGTCTGAGTCCCCCATCTCCTTCCAACAGAGCCCTTTCCTGCCCAAGTGAGACAGCAGCATCTTCTGTGCGCGCCCTCAAGGAGCGGGCAGATCTGGAGGAAGGGTAGGGAGGAGGCGAGGCCAGCTGGACAGAGGCGAAGAAGACAGACAAGGCCATCAGAAGACAGACAAGCTAGTGGAGCCACCACCAGGAACAGGCGCTCCAGGGAGGGAGCAATGAAGTCCCTCTCTTCCGAGAAGCAACATTCTCTCACCAACGTACCTCTCTGAAAACTAAGGTTGACTATTCTTTCTTGTAACCTGATAAACAGCAGAGGGGAATCTAAAGATACGGGGTTGTTAAGCCAGCGGCAAAATACAGACTTTTTACTGCTACTTCAAGAACACTAAATTTCAACACGACTACTTGTGCTGATGGTATTCAGGAAATTGGCAGTTTTGCAAACAAAGAAAAAAATTATCTTTCAACTGATGAAACATATTAAGATGCTTCAAAAATGTCTTTCCACAATAATTATCTTACTAAAAGATCGACACAGTATAAGTAAACTGAGGAAATCTGAAGAGATTGGTGGAGCGTACCAATGTCAATATTCTGCTTGTGATAATGCGTTCTACCTTCACACGATGTTCCCGTTGGGAGAAACTTCTCCCACTACTATTTCTCATAACTGCATGTGAATCACAAGCTACCTCACTAAAAACTTCAATCGAAAAATATTTTTAAAAAGAATCCATGCACATTACAGACATGTAAGGACAAAGTAGGAAGCAAAAATCTTTATTTTTAAAAAAATTCACATTTATTAAAAACAGCGATTTCTAGCCAAATAATATAAAGCATTTTAAATTAATTATTTGAAAGTATGTACACTCTTTGTATAAGTAAACACTTGAAACTGTACAGATTTAAACAAATATTCATTTAGCAAACAAGTTGGATCGCTACCACCTACTTAGCACTTTGTAAGATGTTCGAGTGTTTCAGGAATAAAAGATTCAAAACACAAGAATGAGTGCCATCAAATATTTTTATCCTTAAGTAGAACACAACTTGTTCTGTACATCAGATTAAATCAGTCACAGTAATGTACAATAATCATGCCCTCATTTCTTTGGAAAGGTTATTAAAAAATCAAATGTACATATAATACAGAAAACGGGATATTTTACAGTTTATTTCATTAGACATGTATTTAAAATAGTAAGTGGAAGTAAATATAATCTTCCTGCATCATTCATTTCATGTCGAAGAATGAATATGGACCCTCTTCACCTCTTTCCTTCCCAAAATAGACTGCTAAGCTCTATCAAGCCACATTCGTCACCAATTTAAACAGAGGTGAAAAACAAGTGACCTGTTTAAAATGACAGACATCGGGATATGCAACCTATGTACACACTGCGAGTCTGCTTGCAGGGGATGAGAAATGCCCTACGGTCCTGCAGAATGAGGTCTGCTGGCTACATTCCAGAACCCTCATCAGTGTTCTACTCCTAGATAGTGTTTGAATAATTCCCAACTCCTCCTGAACCAAAAAGCAGCCTATCCAATCAGGAAACAGTTTTCAGTAGGAAAACTCAGAGATGTGCATAATTTATGTGATGATCCCCGACAGAGTACGGGAGATGTCAAGGGGTGGGCCACCTTCATCCTCCTGGTCTCGGTTAGTAGAACGTTTCCTGCTGCAGCAGGGCTAGAGGCCCACCGGCCTGGGGCCCAGCACAGCCAATGAACGGATGCACGGGACACGGAGGTGTTCACTTTTCCAAGAGCTACTAAAACCGAAGGCAGTGCACAGAAAGCCGGTGACCCTAACCTTCGTGCACGAGACGCACTATTCATCAGGTTTCCTTCTCTCCCCGAC